GCAATTGGTCCGTTTTTTCGACCTACCAAACCTACTCGATTGTCATCGATTTCAGCTAGGCGAACTGCGAGAAGTAAAAATGACCCGAGTTATTAACTCGAACTACTTTCAAGAAGCACGCGAAGCCGATATTCGCAAATTTTGCTTTGCTCTCTTCGAGGCTTTCTTTCTTAAATACAGCTCACGCCAAGAACATTAATGATTAGCACTTCGAAATTTCATTTTGAGATTTAGCGCTTCGATTGCCGCGAAGAAAAAATTGTAGAACAACATTTTAGAAAATAGGTACTACGTTTTTATAATCAGGAGGATGAATTAAAAATGCAAATAAGATTGAGGCGGCGGCTGATTTGGAGCTGGTGTTTCAATGTTAATGTTCGCCGAAAACTCAAGAAAACGAACAAAACCAAAGAAATTTTTTATTTATTATCTTTTATTATTTATTTGTTATATTATTTTTATGTTTCTTTTTCGTCACGATTATGCCTCATATTTATTCACGATCAAGGTTTTTTGTAGTGGCATGCAATACCAGTTTTTCTGCTTGTGATCTTGTGAAAGCACTTGCATGGTTTTAGAAGAATTCAGTTTGACGCACGCTCAACTTTCAGCTTCTTTTTTGTATTTTCGCCGTTGCTATTGGGGTTTTTTGGATGACTTGGTTGGCACTATCCGCCAAATCCAAGTTTTCAGGAATCAGATGATCAAAGTCGTTTCTCCCAATCGTCGAAATCATGGCTTGCATAAATTGGACTTGAAGCATCTGATCCAATTGCCCTTCAATACTTTTCGTATCGGCTTTAAGTGTTTCAATCACCTAAAGACTTTTTTTGAGGTGTGCCATTTGATGCCGTTACCTTGCAGGTACCATCGTGGAGTTCTCCTTTCTTGTCTTTACCGAGCTTTACAAGTGAGGAAGCCAAGGTGTATGCGTCGACAATTAACCCGAGCCCGCTCGCCCCAACGAAAACACGGCCCACCGTTTTCCCCTAAATTTTAGACTTTTCCAGACTTTCGGTCGCATAGGAAAAAACCATTTGAACCGGATATACCGTAATGCTGACGCCAGCTACAGTTGTCTCAGCTAGTTTGACGCCGATTAATGCCGCGCGGCATCCAGGCATAATCAGTCCATTGGCCGCTAATTTGGCGTATTCTCCCACTGTGTCCGCCTAGAAAGCAGATATTCAGAAGTTAAAGAGATAACGACGGCAAACGTCGCTCGGTGACGGAGGGGTTATTGTTTTCGCTGCGCCCTCCTGACTGCGCGCCTTCCGTCGCCGCTGGCTATTTTCCAAAAAAACCGGACCTATGGCGTCTTTGTCCCTTTAAAGGGGCGCACAAATGTCCGAGAAGGAGCTACGGGGCGAAATCGAAATCCTATACGACGGCATGACACTTCCGTACGCAAAAGGGGCATCAGTTTTCAGGTTTGAAATTTTCTGACTAGGCCCCATTTTGTTTGTCACCGGACATCTTCAAATGACTCACGGGTGCTTCGGGATTTCCGGCCTGTGCAGCCAATTCTTGATTGACGTCGCGCAAGAGTTGCTCCCGCAATCTCTTATCGCCATCCACAATCGATTGGATCGACTTTTTCGTTGACTGAAAACAAGATTGATTGGTCTCAAACGGCGTTACCCCATTGGCGAATCTGTGAATGGTAACGCCAGCTTGAGTTAAACCGGCGAGGATCGGCACCGCTACTACTGAAACGAAGCTGCAAAATTTGTCCATAAAACCCGGCCGAAGTAGCCATTACTTAACCGTCGATGAATTTACAATCTAGGCTGACATCTTACGACTTACGCGTTCCGAATATAGCTACAGGCGCGGTTACCACCGTGGCACCAATAACGGCAGCGGTTCCAGCGATCCCGACCAAACTGCCTCCCGTTTCGACTTTCAAGCGTTTGGTTTCATCCGTCGCCGACTGGAAGTGCCGTTATTTTCTGTATTATAATGACTAACTAGGGAAGTCCAAGATACCCGCAACACGAATCGGGCTGAAAATTGGCACAGTTATGGAACCGACCATGCTGATCATCGCCTCGTTTTCCGAATTTGCTAGCGAGCTTAAATAATTAAGATATTAAACTTTTAAAATACGCCAAAAACCCGCCACCCTGACCCTGGCTCACTAGAGCGGGTGGGGTTCAAGAGGCCTTTGGGAAGCCCCATTTCCAGATCTCCCGTAGTCAACTGGTGACCGCCTCGCTTCCCAGGTGGGGGGTCCGGGTTCGGACCCGGTCCGCGCGTTTTTCTTTTGCTTTTTGCTAATTGGGCGCCGCACATGTGGCGCGTCTCCAGAATGTGTTTTGCACACCCATTTACGTACATCCTAGAAATGAAATTCAACGAAATCATAAATTTATGAAAAACGTTCATAAAAAACAACACTAGTAAAAAAATTGTTAGAAACCGGTATTCCGTAATTCGACGGCAGCAACCGACTCATCTGCGTGTAGTAAAAAACACAATCTGGAGACGCGCCACATGTGCGGCGCCCAATTAGCAAAAAGCAAAAGAAAAATGCGCGGACCGGGTCCGAACCCGGACCATGTACCTGGGAAGCGAGGCGGTTACCAGTTGACTACGGGAGATCTTGAAATGGGGCTTCCCAAAGGCCTCTTGAACCCCACCCGCTCTAGTGAGCCAGGGTCAGGGTGGCGGGTTTTTGGCGTATTTTAAAAGTTTAATATCTTAATTATTTAAGCTCGCTAGCAAATTCGGAAAACGAGGCGATGATCAGCATGGTCGGTTCCATAACTGTGCCAATTTTCAGCCCGATTCGTGTTGCGGGTATCTTGGACTCCCTAGTAAGACATACAAACGGTTTCGAGAACCGCCTTAAGCTTTCCATAAAGGCAGATTAAGCAAGATACCTCTTTCGCGATGTTCTCAAGTGGCTTGATGCTCGACTCCAGTCTCTTTTGCACAAACGTCGCCCATTTCACCGCAATGTGATCACGTATACGACGAAATTCTTCCATCGCTGCAAAGTATGTGGACCGAGCTGCTGCGATGAAGAAGTATTGAAGTGATTTCGTAGATTTTGTTAGATAGATTTAATACAAAAAAGATGTTTTCAAAAGAAATCAATGGAGAGAATCGCTTGTTCGCAAGGGCGCATCTTGCTGCGGGCATATGCAGGCGGGGCACCGCTGGCCTTATCTGTTCTGATATTCGGAAGCAAAAAAATATTCCGTCAGTCTACAAGGGGCGGGGGAGGCAAAAAATATCCGTGTTGGGACGAAAATATTATACCTTCACGATTTTTTTCAATTTTTGACGATACCTTCTAATCAGCATTCATTAAAAGTTTTTGCACATTCAAAAAAAAGTTGCTCTCGAAACTTGAACTTTCCCATTTTCAAGTAATCTATTTCCGGATGACCCCGAGCGATGCGGAATTTGAGAATTGGAAAGTACGTCGCCTCCGATAACCTTTTAGGCAGCTTTAGATCTAGAAAAATGATACCATAGGACGCTTCTCGAGACCAATAAAGTCTTGTTTTGAATTCTTAATTTCAATTTTTCTGCAAACAATTCGTTATCTGTTTTTAGTGTGCCCAATCAACTCGGTTTCGTCATTGTCTAACGTAAAATACTGATGATATATAAATATATAATAAACGATTTATTATTTCGAAATTCGTTTGTGTAAACGCTCCCAGCAGTTTTATCCAGCAAACTGATTGCTCCGTAATTATCAGATCAGGACGAGCATAGTAAGTAGGTATTACAGCACTGCCCTGCCCTGCCGGGGGAGCGATAGACACGCAGAGTACGATTGGCGTTGTCAACGTCGTCCCCGAAAAATCACCTGTCCGAAAAACACCTGTCCGAAAAGTCGCCTGTCCGAAAAATCGCTTGTCCGAAAATCATCCATCCGAAAATCAACTGTCCGAAAAGTAAATTTCGGACCATGAAATCGAAGTGCGGCTGAAACTTCCCAAGACCTCAGGTAATCTATTCAAACAGGATTTTGGAAAAAAATGGGAGGGTAGTTTCCAGGGATACGAACCGCTACTATATCATAAATTTTTGGAGAGTGACTCAATGAGCTCGGGCAGGCATTCCCTAAGATACGGCCGATGGAAACTTGGTTTGGTCACGATTCCGGGGCTTTCCCCACGTGGGACTATCTGGTGGCGGTTACACCTCGAACCTTTAGGAACTGTCTAAGTAATTTGACAAGGGTTTTGATTGGCTGATTTAGACATTAGTTTTTCGGACTGGTGTTTTTCGGACAGGCGACTTTTCGGATATATGATTTTTCGGATAGACGATTTTCGGACAAGTGTTTTTTCGGACACATGTTTTTTTTCGGACAGGTGATTTTTCGGACAGATGATTTTCGGACAGGTGTTTGGCA